CAATCGAACTCTTGTGAACCGGATAGTGACGTTCATCGTCGTTCCTTAACACTGAGCTGTTCGTAGAGACCTATAGGCGATTTTCGATGCCTACATTGGTCTCTGGCCGCTACCTCTCAATAAGTGCATTGATAAGCGACCAATCAAGCCTAATATATAGCACTGCCGAACACTCCCGGAACCCGGCTTGAGCTATCAACTCTAGTACTCTCTCATCGTGGATGACCCAAGCCGAATGACTCTGTGAATGATCGACCATGGTAATGTCTGGTACGGGCTGCACATTAAACAAAATTGATTAAGTATATTAAGAAAAAATGATCGACCATGGTAATGTCTGGTACGGGCTGCACATTAAACAAAATTGATTAAGTATATTAAGAAAAATTAAATTTAGTGCCAAAAATAAGGAATATTTTTATATACAACGTTTTACCTGTCCCGAGCCAATAAGATCTGAATAATGACTCGCCTGGAGGTACAAAACGTCACCATGTATCGGTCCCAGATCTATAATGGATATAGCTACATATTACAACAAACGTATGTGCAATGTGAACCAGGATTAATTAGAAATCAAACAATAAAATTATATCCCAAACATAGTACAAAACGCTACATATTACAAGAAACGAAAGTGCAATGTGAACCAGGATTAATTCTTTATCAAACAATAAAATTATATCCCAAACATAGTACAAAACGCTACATATTACAAATACGAATGTCATATGTGACCAAACATTAACATTAAAAATCAAACATCAATGCCTAATCCTAGCTGGACAACTGCTTTTGTTGTGACCCGGTTGATCGCATCTACTACATTTATTTTTCCTCCTAATTCCTTCTCTAACGTCATCCATGGAATTTCTAATTTGTACGGAACGAGAACGCCTAGCCGATCTTTTATATAATGGAGGTAATATCCATGACCCGTCTTGTGTTCAATGTCCACTATCATATGGTGGACACTCCTTGTACGTTTGTTGATAGTTGTAAGTTGAATACCAATTTACGACGAATTCATAATGTGAAATCCTCGCACCACCCTGTAGATCAGAGCAAGCCGCGACAACATGTGAACAAGGAATCAGTTGTAGTTGTGGTACATTACAAGTGCACGTACACGTGTGATACACTAGCATATTGACTTTGTACGAGCGACTTTCTCTATGTAATATTCCCTCAATGACCTCCTATTCATTAAAACTATATCTTATGACATGAAATGATCGAGCAGAGATAATCTGTGCCGCTAACATTTCTTCAACCTTCGGCGTGAGCTCTAAGAGGATATTTGTACCAAGTTCTCGACGTCGGAGAAATAAATTATTAAGTCTATAAAATATTTTAGTAACTAGTGACTATATTGACATACTGCATGCTCCCCTAAGCACACCATTGAAACTCTTAGAAGCGTTCATAGTCATCATACAGAACCGCTTCCCGCCATCTTCACATAAAGCCCACTTATCAACATTGTGTGGTCCCAAACTAGTTTCAATCCATTCATGTGGAACTCGTGAAATAAACCTAATCCTCTCTCGTATTTGATCCTAAACTAATTTTTCAGTTGCACAGCCGACTTACCAAAGAAGATCTTGAACCTGCCCATTTCCATGCTTTTTCTTGAAGTTATCCCTAATATGTCGCAAACAATAACGATGTTCATATGGCGACGGGAAATATTGTTGGAATGCTCCCTTAGATTAGGTAAAATCAATCAATATATAAAATATGCGGACACATGCTTGTTATTCATCTCTAATCGAGGATTGCTACATGTGTAGAGTCTGTTGTAAACTGTGATTTTAAATTACCCGCCTACTCTTACACTCAAGCGTGAATTAAGCTTCCAAGGACATTTCGCATTGTCGTCGTGGTGTCCACCATTATCCTCGTCTTTGCCATCTTTGCAATAAAAACAAACCACATTATATCTTGTTGCGTTATTTTTTATTAGCCTAAACTTGACATTTTTTCAATGTCCCACAAACGAAGCGTATGGATCAATTTCTCCTTACTTTCAAATAGACCCCCCTTCTTGAATGAGAAGTCCTCGCCTTATGTATCATCAACGATATTAGTGCCGATAGGAATACTTTCCATCGTGGAGTTATCAATCCATTCTTCTCCATGAAGTTCATCAGGCGGCAGATCCTCTAACATGACATACTGATTATTAGTATAACATCCGTGAATGTGTTGGTTGTCTCCTTCATCACGATCAATCAAACCCGTCATGCTATTAATTTGTAAGTCATCCTCTTCATCACCATCCTCGGATTCGACACTTGCATTATCATCTAGATAGGCCATGTTAGTATCGATATTAGAAGTGCTCACAAAAGAAGGACCGCTCACGTATTCTGACTGTGTCCAACCTTCATATTGTTGCGGAGATAAAAATCCAACAGAGTCAACTTTAAGGTCCTCCAACATGCGAGAGAATATTCCGTTGTGATTCACCGATTTGCCCAAATTTCTCTGATGATTTTTAATAAATAATTCCATCGAATGCTTCTGGTCGTCTAACACTCCAATGAGACCCATATTATAGTCACTTGAGATTTGAATGCCGCTTGTTCTGTTCCCCACAATATGATAATTGTAAATAACATTGAGGTGATACTCACGTGAGTTGGTTAATGTAAGTTTGTGTAATTCATTATCCAATTCATCGAAAGTACATGATTTTATTATAAACAACTGTCTCGTCACACCTCCTTCATAAACTGGCATATTATTTTCGAGATAGTTAATATTCCCATCATATGAACAAAGAATTACGATTCAATCGTTCATTGTTACCTCTGAAGAGTAAAAAATTCAAGATCAATATTACACGAAAAAACTTAAAAAAATGTTACTTACCATTAAATCACCACATTATTGATTTTAGAAACCCTAACCAAATTCATATATCGATGTCAAACATATGTAGTAACACTAATTTTTACATTTTTTTGATAATTTCCCCTATAAATACACAAAATTATTTAATTTTTCTTCACAAAATTCATAAATAATTCACAATTAATTTCTAAAATCCACATTTTTTTTCAAGTAATCATCATGAAATAGTGAGAATATACAAGAAATTAGGAGAATTTTTTTTAAATATTTTACCTTAAATTTGTCGATGACCTAATTTTCGGTGAACTCCGACGATGACGGCGGCGAGAGCGATCAACTCCAGTGAGGAAGATCAACGCTGGCGGTGGGGACTGGCGGCGACGGCGGTGGTAGCTGTGGCTGTGGGGGACGAGGGGAGAGAGGGTCTAGGGTTTCAGATTGGGAACGATGGAGGAGAGAGGCCGACGAGTTGGGTTAGAGCGTGTGGGTCTGCGCCTTATATATGTGTGGCCAAAACTCCACGGGACTTCAACTCCCGTGGAGTTGCAGTGAACAATTTTCCTAAGAGTTGGCTCTGTGGAAATTTGCATGTAACTCCACGGGACTTGAAGTCCCGTGGAGTTTTGGAAAGTATTACAGACTTCACGGGACATCAAGTCCCTTGAAGTTTAGCAGGTTGGTTAAATACCTGCTAAACTTCACGGGACTTGAAGTCCCGTGAAGTTTCGTAAGTTTTTTCTCCAAAACCGACTCAGTTTCAGCCCGACGACTGAAACTGGGTCGGTTTTGGAGATTATTTTAGAACTATGTGGTTTTTTGAGATTATTTTTGTGAATAGGACCCTTTTGAAAACTTGTCCTCACATCAACGTATCAAGTTGTCAAAAACTAGGGGTGTGCAACAGTCGGTTTGGTTCAGTTTTTACCAAAATTTGAACAACCGAACCGAACCGTCTATAATTCAAAACCGAACCGAACTGTTGCAAGTCGGTTCGGTGCGGTTCGGTTTATTCGGTTCTAACTTCATCAAACTTCTTATCAAACAACAAACTGTGTTAAAGAAAAAAAATATCAACAAACTAGGAGATTATGAAGCATTAAACACTGATATAATGATATTGTTTTCAACCCATAATGATCCAGAAAATGAGTTTAGAGTTTGAGTCTTTGACTCTTTGGGGACCGGTCGGGTAGTGTTTGAGATCAGAATGGGTAGTATTGCACTATATTCGATCGGTTCGGGTCGGGTCGGGTTAAAAAGTTTTCAAACCGACCCGAACCGCTACTCATAAAACCGATTTTTTTGGGTCGGTTCGGTCGGTTTTTTCGGTTTGGACCGAACCATGCTCAGCCCTAGTCGATATTCAGGACATCGAAATAAAGAAAGATTAAACTTTAGATTATCAACGGCAAATAATAAGCCTAATATGGACTTTTTTTGCATTTCTAATTTACCATCACTTTCAAGTTTCAACAAAGCAAACACTTGATTAGTGTTAAAAATGTGTTCCTTTCACAATTTTAGTTTGGGTTATTTGCACATATACCTCTTACATCATGGGTATTTGCAAATATACTCCCTAAATCTTCTCGAATCATTAACTTTGTGAAAACGATACTCCTAAAATCAACAAATTGTTAAATTAGTACAAAAAGTTTGACTGTTTTGTTGATATTTTTTACATCGCGATTACAAATTAGCCTATCAAAGTTGATGATTAAATTACTTTGAGAGTAAATTTTTTCCAAAATTGATGATTTACCAGTTAGTTTTGCAAATACTCATGATGATGCAAGGGATATATATATATACAAGCAAATAACCCTTTCAATTTTCACTTTCATGATTTATAAAATTTATTAAAAAAAAACTCGCGATGGAAAACTCTTTTTCTTTTTTCCCCTCTTTAATTCGCGCAGGCGAACGCACCAAATGGGACTCCTCAAGCCGCCTCCGCTTTCCTTTTCCCTTTCTCTTCCCTGTAACAAAAAGACTCGTGCTTTACACTGGAGCAGCAGCAAGAAGATGACGGCGTCGGCGAACTGCTCGATCGCGGAGGTTCTAACCCTTTCAATTTTCACTTTCATGATTTATAAAATTTATTAAAAAAAAACTCGCGATGGAAAACTCTTTTTCTTTTTTCCCCTCTTTAATTCGCGCAGGCGAACGCACCAAATGGGACTCCTCAAGCCGCCTCCGCTTTCCTTTTCCCTTTCTCTTCCCTGTAACAAAAAGACTCGTGCTTTACACTGGAGCAGCAGCAAGAAGATGACGGCGTCGGCGAACTGCTCGATCGCGGAGGTTCCCCCAACTGCGACCGCCGACGGGATCCGAACCCTCGCAGAATCCGGTCGATATAAGGTAACCCTTCTTCTCTTCCCCCAATTTTATCAATTCAAGCCGATAAAAATCTTGGTTTTCCCCCCTTGAATCAATCGATTCAACTCGCACTTCATCGTCGTCAGGTATGTAGATTAGTTTCGTATGCCGCTGGTAATTCTATCATCGAATCTATCGCGCGATTCTAAATTTGAAGTGTGATGCCCTGGATTTAATTCTCTGCCCCAAATTTGTCATTTCACATCAAAAAGATCGCTTTTTTTTCATTCATTCCTGAAATCAAACTGTAGGAATGTGTTTTGATAACGATTTGCTGCTTGTTGGGATAACCTTGCTGATTTTTATTTTTATTCATTTAGCCTCGATATGTTTGCTTACACAAAATGATTGCCATGGCTTTGTTTCTTCCTCGTGGAAATTGTAGGCCGTTAGGTGTAGAGTACTAGCAAACTTAACAGTACAGAGACTTTAGTATAACTCAATTCAACTATCTGATGAATTAAGATCAATTCTAAAGCTAATTACGTAAGGAAAATTAATCTATAAGTTAATAAATTATGTAAATTTGATGATAAAGAGGCTCTAAGGTTAATTCGGAACTTAATAAGTTAAGAAAACTCAAAATCTCAACAGCAAATAATATAGCATCAACTGAAAGGTAATATCTAAACACAAGATGAAATAAATATACATCTAACTAACTTATAAGGTGAATGGTAAAACATTTTTAACTATTTTAATTTGAGGGGCTATTTTGACTGTGTTGTAATACATACAACTAACATATACACATTAAATTATATGGTTTTTCTTCGATATTAGTCCCTTAAATCTTTATATCTTGAAATTAGTCCTTCAAATCATTGGAACTGCTAAACTCCTGATTCAAGTTGTTTTGAAATTAGTCCTTCAAATCATTGAAATAGCTAGCGGGCTCCTCATTTCTGATTAATTGTTTGAAATCAACCCATCCAATTGCTACTTATACTCTTGATTGGAGGAAATAATTTGGAAGTTACTTAAGAATTCGAGGACCTAATAGAGACTCCAATAAGTTGATGGGCTAATTTCAAAATATGAATAATGCAAGGGACTAATTTAAAAAACCCTAATTACATATCATTTTGTTGAGATCAAATAGGCTCACCCTTAGCTGACAGGAAATGAAACTTTGATGAAGACCTAGATGAGCTAGAGATATGGAAAGGCTCAAGCTTTAATTCATCACAACCTGAACCTTTAGGGCTTGTTTGGATTGAGGGGAATACGGGTGAAGGGAAGTTAGGGGAACCATTCACCTCCATTCACCTTGTTTGGGAACATTTAGGAGGTGAAGTTATTCACCATAGTTCCCCTTGGTTCACCCCCTAATAGTATAAAATTTGTTACCCCCAAATTGGGGTGTAACCAAGGGGAAGGGAACTCTCTTCCCTTCCCTTCAATTCTCTCACCTAGTTTCCCTTAACTTCCCTTCACCCTCTACAAATCCAAACAGGCTCTTAATTCATCAAACCTATAAGAAAAAGGGGGGAAAGTCATCAAAGCTGCCAGGCTTTGACTCTAGAAATATATACAAAATAGCCTTCTGCCAGAAATCCCAGTTAATGAATAAATGCGACAAAGCTTAATTCAAAGATAAGCATGCCATGCATAGTTCTTAAATGACCATGTAATATTTAGTCGGGTGATCATAGATTTTGGGAAACTGAGTCGGATGGAAAAATTAAAACCCAGATAGCATCCATTTAAGCATTATTTATGCTTGTTTACAAATATTTGGAATTAAAAAAAATGCATTTACACCATATACATAGTTTCCATTCTTCCCACTTTTTTTTTTGTTTGGGAGGAGGGACCGTCCCCACCCGCCCCCCTCTAGGCTTGTCCCTGTCAACAATAGTCTATTTAATAACTTCCATATTTCTGGTTAGAATTTGAAAATCATGGTATTGCTAGTCATTAAGAATATATTTTCTTGGTTTGGTATCTCTGTGATTGTTATTGTTGTATAGCATGAATTTTGTTGGAAATACATCATTTACATAAGATTGCAGTTGTAATTAAGTACGTGATGCATGATTACTTGTAGGGTTATGTACAGTGTTATGCTTATATTTGCTTCATGATTTATTTTACATGAACTATCTATAGTGAGTACAGAAAGCCCCGTATACATCTCTCGTGTGTGTTTGTTAATGATTTTAATTGGTTTTTGTCCATTGTACTTGCTTTGATCTCAAATAATGATTAGAGCTCCATTTGGCAGGCATGGCTCTTAGATCAGTTTGGTGTTCTTCATGATGGGAAAAAGCCATATCCTGGTGCCATTCCAACATGTATGCTAACTTGTTTCTATATGGGTCTCATTTGTTATACTCAATTTGACAACTAGTAATTCTAAATGTTTTGACTACATGTCAATTTTGTGTTCATTAACCAATTACTTTCGTAATAGTGGAACAACTAGCTAATCATGGGGCAAAGATGGTAATCATAAGCAATTCATCTAGACGAGCATCTATAACCATGGAGAAGTTGGAGGGCCTTGGATTTGATTCTTCTCTTTTTCTAGGGGCCATCACAAGTGGAGAATTAACACATCAATATCTTCAGAGGTTAGATTATTTCCTTCTTTATTATTATTATTATTATTATTATTATTTTGAGTATAAATCCCCAAGTATGTGACAATTTAATTTCACTGAATCCTTGGTCCATGACTCAGTTTCCACAAGTTGTTGGAAAACAGTTTTCTTTTGGAAGTAAATTACCAAAATATCTAGACTCAAGTAGATATCTCTGTGGAACATTGTTAAGGTTTTGAATTTTATTAATCCAAACTAAAAAACAAAGTATACATATAATCTCTAGTTAACGGTTGCAGCACGATTTACTTGACGTGCTTCAATTTTTAGTGCACAGTTTGAACGTGGAAGATAATGTCTACTGCTGAATTTAGTATTGATGCTGATAACAGTTTTAAGGGTTCCGCTCGAGAGTGTAGGAATTATTATGCACATAATAGCAACTTATTATATAAGGTCCGCTGCCGTTTTCAGTTTATCTATCCATTGAACATAGTCTAATCAATACAGCCTTTGAAAGAAATCCAGCAAGCAGGAGAAGGAAATCGAAATGCTTATTCACCACTTTAAATCTGAAGAAAGCAAACAATGTTAGAGTCTAGGACAGTTGAAATCTTAATCTAAATTTAGGAATGTCTTGTGTATTTGACTATAACCGAACAAATACGTGCTGCCTGTGTCAACCTTTGATTTGATTGCCTTATAGTTCTTATATTTGTTATAAAAATATTATTACTTTAATTCCTGTCATTTCTCTTTTCATACTCTTATAAGTCCTTCTAACCATTAGACCGCAACTACGAAATTATGGTGTGGGGTTGAGGATTATATTTTATGGTGTGGGGTTGAGGATTATATTTTTATATTCTAACATGCCCCTAGCGTGTTGAGGATTCTTTTTATGGGCCAAAACCCGGACTCACGCAGCGGTGTCAATTTTCTAACCATTAGACCACAACTCTGAAGTTATGGTGTGGGGTTGAGTTATGGTGTGGGGTTGACGATTATCTTTCTATATTTTAACATGTCCCCAGGAGGTTGAGGGCTCTTTTTATGGGCCGATACATGAACTCATGCAACGGTGTCATTTTTTTTTTAAATCTACTTTAAATTCGTGGCTGGTGGGATTTGAACCTGAGTTGCTTTGTACCATCTTAAATTATTAAGTCTCTTTAACCATTACACTATAACTATAACTATGAAGTTATGGTGATGGTTGAGGATTATATTTTTGTATACTAACACTTACTTTCTCTTCTTTTCTTCGTCACTTTCTGTTGTTTGCAATTGTTGCTGGACTTAAGACTTTAGTCTATCCTGGTGACTGGCCTAGTGCCTAACATGGGAAGTTTACTTTCTGGTTCTGATGTAGCCATTACAGGCTTATGGCTAATAGCTATTCGCTACAAACTTTTGCTATATGCAAGTTTAGTGCAGTATCATGGTAAACATGCGTCATGTAGTTAGAGTTATACATGGACTATAAATGACAAAGTTTGACCAACAGCTTCATTGGACTTTGATCATTGGCTTACAGCTAATAGCTATTCTCTAGCTTTCTGCCAATTAGAATAGTGACTTTGCTCCAAGAATTACTATTCAGATTTCAGTTATAGTCATTTCCCTAGAGAAAATTGTTCCTGAACTTATTTCTGTAGGTTTATTTGAACCAGAGATTTATAGGAATAAAAGATTATGGTGTGTTAGTTTAATGATATACGTAAGTAGTAGCTTGTCCTCTTGATTGTCCACTGTTGATATTATGGTGCTCATTATTCACTTCTTCTTTTTTCCCCCTGTGATATAGGAGGGAAGATCCATGGTTTGCAGACCTAGGAAGATCTTGTATCCACATGACATGGAGTGATCGAGGTGCAATATCTCTTGATGTATGTTAGCATCATCTAGTATTCTGGCTTTCCTCTAAATACTGTTTACAAATGATGTTTGCGTAAATTATTGAAAGTGAGCTGTTGGGGAGCTATAAATTAACCGAAGCATGATAATTCAACTGCTGAAAGTTGTCGTGGATCCTGAGGGAGGACTGGAAGCCAGCTAAAGGCAGAGAATACTTCAGGGGGGGGGGACGCTTGACCTATCATTTGGATTTCAATGTTTGTTTATCTGATCACCATTTTGAGAATTGGAGTATCTGTAACCGATATCCACACTAATCCATTCTTCATCAATGCTTAAAATTAATAGTTAACTGCTTCATAGTCCTGGATGTACTTTTATTTCTTCGCTTCTGCTGTTTTAGGGTCTGGGCTTGCAAGTTGTGAGCAATGTGGATCATGCAAATTTTATTCTAGCTCATGGTACTGAAGCACTGGGTCTTCCTTCTGGTGATGCACTCCCTAAGAAACTTGAAGAACTTGAGCAAATATTAGAACTAAGCGCCAAAAGAAAAATTCCCATGGTGGTTGCGAATCCAGATTATGTAACTGTTGAGGCGAGAAATCTGCGTGTTATGCCTGGTAAGGAGGGTTATGTAGGTTATAATTTAAACTATCTACTGCCCTTTGGTTCTCTTGAGGATTTACTCAGGTCACTTCATAGACATTGGTACATCAAACAGTGAGGCACTGCCACACTAAATTTAATTTAATTGGAAAACCATGCATGGTCATGCCTTCTTGCAGAGAGGGAAGTTGGATATTTGTTCTTTTAGTGGATAAATCAAGAAGTGCTGATAGGATTATGTAAATATAGGGTTATTTGGCCAAAAGAGAGTAATTGGGGGTGGTTTTGGTAGATTATTTCTTTTCTCTATCCAGATTTAGAAACTGGCAAGACACAATACAGAAGTGACTAACATAAGGAGAAGAAGAAAACCTACAAATGATCTTATAGCAACCCAAAATGTTGTCATATTGTCTGATCTTTTCGTGGATTTCAACTTTTTTTCTTCTAGCTCTTGTAAATGAGGAAAGAAAAAGATGAAGTAACTATTGTATATAGTAGGTTTCATGATTTTATTATAACTAACAACATTTTATGTAATGGTGCTTTGAGCCTGCAAACACATTTTTAAGGCTTAGTATTACAATAGCATGGTAAGGTAGCAATCAAAGGACATCAGTCCTATGGCTTAGCAGTTTAGCTGAACAAACTTCCTTTATATATAACTTTATGATTTCAGAGAAAGTACTTATAACTTAAGCTGTAGATCATGACCATTTACTCTTTGTTGCATAAATCAACATTTCAGTGGAAGTCACTTGTACATCTCTCAGACGTCATGCATACGGATGAATCTATATACGTATTACACATGTACATGTATACGTTAAGAGGGAGGGACGGATTTTTGGAGCCATGCATCTAAGACATTTATGGAATTATTGTTGTCTACCTAGTGTATCTCTGAGATGGTATCTAATTTCTTCATAACAGTTGCCCTTCCGAATATCTGGAGATTACGGTGATTTAGTATGAGCTTTCTGGTGGTTGCATTAGTGTTTTCTTAGAGGCTGTTTGGTAGCTCAGAAAACAGAGGAAAAGTGTTACAGGAGGAGTGACGTGGCACACTTTAAATGGTTGATGTGACTTAATTTTAAAGAAACCCATTTCATGGATTTTTCCTAAGAAATGGGAGGAAATCACTTATGATGATTATTTCCTCTCTCTTTTTATTTTATTTTATTTTATTTATTTATTTATTTATTTTCTTCGGGGTAGGGGGTGTTCCAGGAAACCAAGCAACAAGCCCTTAGTTACAAACATGCAACCATTGTCATTGCTGTGTGGTAGAGGTTGCATCTCTTCATGCATATGCGTGGTTACACATCTAAATATACCAAGGTGTACATATCTGCATCTGTATGTAAATGGTTATGTGCACATAAATACAAGCTTTTCAATGTTTTCAGCACCTTAGTACTTGATGTATGCACACGTGTTTATGGATGTAAATATCAATTTGTATATGTACCTTTATGATAATTCTAATATTACTTCGGAGTAGACGTTGCCAATTGAATCATGATAGCTTCATTCTGTAAAATCTTTTATTCTGCATGCATGGATGGGCTCATGCATGTATATATTACTATTCTTTCGTGTAAATGTCACTTTTTGTGCTATGATTCTTTATTCATAGATTTTCTGCTTAGTTTTCCATCTGTTATGCTTCAGTTAAAAATAACTTAAAAACTTAACTTGTCAGGAACCCTAGCAGCTAAATATGAGAAGCTTGGAGGTGAAGTGAAATGGATGGGAAAACCTGATAAGGTACTGACTGCATTGCTGTTGTTGGTTATTCTGTCTCAGATGTATCCTCAAGTATCTTCCAAGTATAGATATCAACATTTCCATCTGGAAGCATCGGATAACGCAACCTTTAATATTTCTTTCCCATTTTCCATCAAACAGTGAGTCTTTATGACAAAGAACAAGAACGCTCCCTAACCGTGAAAAGATCAGTACATACCATTTAAAAGGACTCCGTTTGCTTCCTTCACACATGTAATTAGCATGTCATAACACAAAGTTCACCCCAACCATGAATGTCACAAACTGTAGACTTGAAAACTACGTGCAAGTTTTCTCCTCAAGAAAGAAAAAAACTTCGTGCTATTTTCTGCATTACGATTTGACTGTATTCAGATGTTATATGTTATATTTCTAATATACTAGTTGGCCTTGTAATTAAACATTCCTTTTTTTTAGTTTTTATAGGATCAGAGCTTGGGATTTAAAGGATGATATTGTTGTATTGCGATTCGGGTGCTTCATACCACGTTTGCCCTAGGAGGGATTGGTTCTCCAGCTTTCAGAAGTTGGAAAGAGAGGATGTTGTGCTCATGGGTAATGGACATGCATGCTCTATTGGTGGTATTGGTACCGTTCGGATTAAGATGAGTGACGGGATGATGCGGGAGTTGGAAGAAGTGAGGTTCGTTCCGCAGTTGTCGAAGAACATCATTTCACTAGGAGCTTTGGTGCATCTGGCTCAGTGTTGTAAATAGCGGCCAATAGCGGGGCTATAGCGGCGCGAATAGCGGTCGCAGCCCTTCAGCGCTACGCGTAGGGGTTTCGCGGCTGGCTTAAGCGGGAAAATCCTCTATTCATTCGAATAGCGCGTAAAAGCGGATTTTAGCGGGTTAAAAGCGGGTTTTCACAGTTAAAAGCGGATTTTCGCGGTTAAAAGCGGCTAAACCCGCTATCACACATATTATGATGCTATATTTCTTGAATTTCTTCATAGTTTCATTCATACAACAAGCCTACTAATTGTTATTTACTGATAATACAAGAAATTTACAACTAATTGAATTTTTAGATTTTTTTATGAATTTTCTTATTATTTAGGATATTTAAATATATTTAAATTTAACCGCTATTTGACTGTGCGCTATTTGACCGCTATTTAAATATATTTAAATTTAACCGCTATTTGACTGTGCGCTATTTAAATATATTTAAATTTCTTATTATTTAATTATATTTAAATTTAGGGGTGTGCAACGGTCGGTTCGGTTCGGTTTTTACCAAAATTTGAACCGAACCGAACCGCCTATAATTCAAAACCGAACCGAACTGTTGCAAGTCAATTCGGTGCGGTTCGGTTCGGTTTGTTCGGTTCTAACTTCATCAAACTTCTTATCAAACAACAAATTGTGTTAAAGAAAAAAAATATCAACAAAGTAGGAGATTATGAAGCATTAAACACTGATATAATGATATTGTTTTCAACCCATAATGATTCAGAAAATGAGTTTAGGGATGAGTCTTTGACTCTTTGGGGACGGGTCGGGTAGGGTTTGAGATCAGAATGAGTAGTTATTACACTATATTTGGTCGGTTCGAGTCGATTCGGGTCAGTTCGGGTTGAAAAGTTTTCAAACCGACCCGAACTGTCCTACTCATAAAACCGATTTTTTCGGGTCAGTTTGGGTTGGTTCGGTCGATTTTTTCGGTTTGGACCGAACCATGCTCAGCCCTATTTATAATTGCAGATCCTTATCATCATTGTTGACCGAACAAATGTATGTTCTTCAAGTCTTATCTGCTTTACTTTGTGCATCAGCGAATTTACATTGAGGACAATGTAAAATTTAAGTGTGGGGGTGGGAATTAGTTATTTTTTCCCTTTATTTTACCTTTTCAGTTGCTTTTTGTCATTTTTTTTCCTTTTTCAAAAAAAAATAATGGTGATTGTATTACTGTAGGAGATTCTCTTCACCATGACATTAAGGGTGCAAATGCTGCTGGAATTGATTCAGCATTTATCACTGGGGGAATTCATGCTACTGAACTTGGAATTAGTACTTTTGGGGAAGTTGCTGACTGCACTGCAGTCCAAGCTTTGGCGAGTAAGAGCGGTGCCTGTCCGTCTTATATTTTGCCGGCTTTTACGTGGTAGTGCAGCATCTGTTATGGTGAGCATTTCTATTTTTCTTTTGCATTATTTCATATTATACAGCCAGACTCCAATGGCTGAATATGTTTGTTAATAAATCTTTAGATGTTCTTAGTGAAGTTTAACATCGATTTGGCATTTCACTTTTTTCTTTGTCAAAATCTACCAATTTTAATGACTCAGACCACGTTGCTGGTGCTTTCAGACTTTTCAACCAAAAGGGTGCAGGCAGTGTGCTGTCTTTTGGTCATTTGTGTTGACTTACAAACGTCAGCTAGGAGATCATATCTTGGTGTATTTATCTGAAGAATTAGAAACCAAAGGACTGGAAATGACCTTGGAAATAAAAATTTATCCACGGATTTGTAGTTTTTCATAAAGGCTGATGGGTGTTTCTTACTCTTCTCATGCTAGGATGAAGTTGAAGCAAACAAAACAATATTTGGATGGTGGATGCTTCCGGTATCTTACTTCATATTTAGGCAGAATTCTTAGACAAGTTTAAGTTCGGATTACATCCCCAGATGTATATTTCCACTAAAGAACATGCTGATTTAATCCGCTGATAGTGATTATAATTTTTTTCATTACAAGGGTTAAAAAGTGTACTAATTGTGGTATCTATGTTGAGAAAATGGCTGCATAAACTCATGTCTTCATTTAATTGACACAACAAGACAAAGGATAGTTAACCCGAAGTTCGGTTCGTAAATTAATCTAGTTTTATATAATTAGGCAAGTTGGAGGTAGTTTTATGTGATTAGCAAGATATAGGTCGTTGTATGTAGTAAAGCAAGATATACTATTTACATTCTGATTTTTCTAGTTCAAATGTTTGTCAATGAGAGAATTTTGAGCTACAAATTTGTTGCGGGAAAGTTGAATTAGGTTACTTCCAGTGTTTTCAAAGGCGCGCGCCTCATTGCGCCTCATGCGCCTTATGGTGCGGGGCAGTGACAAAACGCCCCACATCTGATGTAGCAGCGCCTTTGCGCCTCGCGTACATCCTTACTTTGTGTAGGATACATATAGTACATATCCTCATATAGTTTTATTTGTTAACATTTCAATCGAGTCTTTATACTTGATATTCCATATCCCAAAAAGCAAAATAAATCCATTAGTCCTTTTTAAATAGCCTTCAATTGAGAACAATTACTAATCCTTTGCTTGGATATTAATCTTGATTTAAAATTTGATTTAAAAATTTATGAATTTTGCTACTATGTTAGGTGTTAGCATTAGAAATTAAGGCATTATATTATGATTTTGTAGTAAGATATTATTTATCATGATATTTTTCAAGTAAATTCTAAAAACATGTTCTTTCGCGCTTGATTACATATATTGAAAAATTATGTGTGCGGTGTGCGCCTCGCATCACTCGGGCGCGCGCATCGCGTTGCGCCTTGCGCATGTGCGCGTAAAGATGCTTGGCGCCCCGCATTGCGCTTCGCGCATTGACAACACTGGTTACTTCCACTCTGAATCGGGTTACAATTATTAAGGAAAAAAAGGGGACTGTTGAATTTTGCATTCGTATTCAATTAATGGCTTGTATATGCATATCTGGAATCTTTGAGTACCTCCAATTCTTAATAAGATGACTGCATGCGTGTCCTGAATCTTGTGACTTTGAGATACTTGTTTGTTCATCTGTAGGTTGGTCTTACCTTCTGGACCTGAGGGCAGCAGGGAGTTAGAAGAAGGTGAAGATTACATATTCGGAGATCCTTTGCCTTAGTAAAGCAAGAATCATGAGAGTATAAGTTTGTATAGCCATTACAATCAAGCATGTGTGTTATAATCGAGGGATCACACGAGTCGAATACTATTGATTATCAAGAGATGTGGTCTAGTCACGCCATGATATACTACTAACAATGATATTCTAACACTATGCTGGTATTTTGGAGAAGTGGTGGATACCACAAGAAAGATGACATTGAGATTGCTGGAAAACGCCCAAATTTTATGTAATCTGATGAGACGTACGCTGTGAAGTTGAAACACAACCCAGTGTTTTAGAGGCGGAGGGATGAACGCTAGAAAAGAATAGGAAAACACAACTCTGGTAACTCTCAAATTTGTCTTCTCTAAAAGTGTCCTATATAATTTAAACGTAGAAAATTTTTTTGCGGGTTAAAGATTCTCTCTCCATTCTAAGTAGTCTTTCTTGCCAACGGATGTCCCTTCTATTGATTGAGAATGTCTCTTCTATTGATTGAGAATATGCATGATGATGATTATTTCGTGGGTCATATGAAAAAAGAGAGAAACCTGTGCAGAAAACATGAGTACAGGCTTAAATTGACCTCCATGATTTATTCAGTTTGCTACGGTATCTCCGAAATCAAATGAATTGGTTGTCAGATGTTCATTATCATTTGTTTTTAAATTGTTTATGGGATACAGGAGGAAATCAAATGAGGATGAAAAAGAATAAGATTAATTACATTCCGGTACCCGATAGTATTTTATAACTATATGCATGACGCTGAGGTTTGGGTATTTACAAAGGTAACCCCGAGTTTAATGGCCAAAGTGAAAGTGCTAATGGAGCTTAACTTTGCAGAGGAAAAGGCAGAAATGCTCTTTCATATAAACAAAATTTTCTTAGCGTTTTGGCAGAACTAATAAGGAGGTTTAAAGATTTGACAGACTAATATAGACTAATATGAAATAATTAAAGTTACGAGGGACTAATATCTAAATAACCCTTCTACAGAAATTACCGAAACAAATATATATTCCTCTACCTTAGCGACTCTTCATTTTTCCTTTTCACCACTCTAATCATCTCACCCATGATCTCAAATCCCTTTCTGCGATATAAGCGTGAAGTTTTGATTTTTACCGAATATTTGTGGTGTTGTAGTCGATATTAGTACGAGGTTCAGCCAGTTTTTTGTCAGTCATTCATTTCTTCAGGTACAGGTTCTCTTATTCTCTTAGTTTTTTGGTGCCTAGTTTGAGTTTTTCTTGTGCAATTGGTTTTTATTTTAAGTATTTTCTTCAAAATCTTAAATGTAAGTGGAGTCAATATTTTTAGAGTTTTAAAATGTTGTCTGATTCAAAAATCCGTGATTATTTTGGGTGCTTGTACGCTAATGTTTAGATTCTTTTCTATGGTCCTTCTAGCTTTTTCTTAATGTGAATTGCCTTTTCTAAGATGTTAGTTATGGGTTTAAAGTACCCATTACTTCTCTTATTTCTAGTGTATGATATCTTATGATGTGCTTTTTTATTACAGACGGATGATATGAAAAAATGTAGTGGTCCATTATCCTAACGGTTAGAAGTTGAATTGGACAGTTGACATGGACACCTACCAATTGTTGGACTTAATGAAAGATGTATGGTGTATGGCCGAGAAGAAGAACTTTAGTCTCCCTGGTAATCTGCTTGATAGTGGGATTTTCCCCCTTTTTCTAAGCTTGCTATTGGAAATGATTCCATGACTCAATTGTCGTTCCAAGGCTCCAAGCTTATAACCTATTATTGGATGGAAAGTGCTAACTAGGTAGATTATTCACATCAATTTCAGAATAATGTGCTAGCAATTGCAGTTATAGTACATAAGCCAAGATTTTCACTTGATCCCACTATCTTCAATATTGCTTTACTCACACAGTTGCAATTGATACATGAAACCATATGCTGGAAAACATTCTTTACTCGCACAATTGTAATTGATACATGAAACCATATGTTGGAAAACATGCCTTAGGGTATAACATTGCTTTCCGCCACAATTTCAATGGATACATGAAGTCATAGGCAGGGAAAACTTCATATCATTTTAAAAGTACTAAAAAAAGTACTTGGGTTGAAAGAAAAAAGAAAACAAGAAAACAGTGCTAAGTAGCTATCAGAGTTACCTTTGTAGATACTTAGACCCTTGGGCCATGGGTGCAATTACATTATACCACAAGGTATGTGAATGTAAAAGGGTATTTTAGGACTTTTCATATTGTATTAGTTGATATGTCAACAAAAACACAAATAATGTTAGGACATCGTTAGATTTTAGGTTGCGACGACAAGTTAGCAACCTTAGGGTCATTTGTTTAAAACACCCAAACCTCAGGGGCCACCCATGTAGTTACATCATACTACAGGTACCTGACTGTAATTAATCCAAAAGAATACAAAAGTGTTAGAAAGTTAGATTTGTTAAAGCTGGTATGATATAGAGTTGATTAATAAGAGATTAATAAGAGTATTTTGTTACCAACTTGTTTTCTTGTTTGTGTAAAATGGACGTTAAAGTTAGTATGATATAGAATTGATGAGTATATTATGTATATATATTTTCCTCTTATGATTTGATTCGTTATGATTCTTTGATGATGGTATTTCATGCTCAGACTTATGCTAATACAGTTATATTCTCTCAAGGAAAATAATTTTGTAAAAAATTATAATTTTTGGAAGGAAAACACAGGAGCTTCCACATTTTCATGTTCGAAAGTTTTGCCCCGTACCTTTCCAAATAAGTGATTCATTGCTTATCATTTTCACTGTGATTATATGTATCTGTTCATTGTATAAATTGGTCAAGTTTGGTTGAAAAGTGGAAAACGTAATATGAGCTTTTTAATATGCATTTTTACCATGTTCAAAATAGAATTAAAGAATATTGGAGAAGAGAAAATGACTATAAAATGGTCTTAATCTCAATCCAAAATGCTGTTATATTATTGATGCTTCTTGTTGATTACAATTTTTTTTCTAGCTCTTGTAAATAAGAAAGAAAAGTTGAGACTACTGCTCTATATTGATATGTCTCATGATTTCGTTATAGCTAATGATATATAGTTAATATTATGCTTTTCTGTCTCAATGGGATGATGCTATACACACATAGTCAAGGCCTTGGAGCAATGTTTGGGATTACCAAAGAAGGTAGAAATAAAAAAAATCAGCCCTATGACTCAGCAATTTATCTTAAACAAACCTATTATTTAGATATCTTTGTGCAATTTATTGAACTTTTTTACCTCTTGATGCATGAATCAAAATTTCAGTGGAAGATAGGTCAGAGCAAGTATCTATTTTTCCGTCACCCTTTCTTTATTAATACTAACTTGACAACAATGTCGACATAATTCATTGAAAATCTAAGTAAGCATCTTAAAGGAAGACAACATCTCACTACCTGTGTCTGCGTGTGTGGGTCATGCATCCATAGAAGGGAGAGATGGAGAAAAATAGCATTGGCTACTTCCAGAAAGATTGGAGTAGTGCAACTAATACATTTCTCGAATCATGGTTTTGTACCCTTTTTCCGAAGATGGTCTTTTCATAATAGTGGTCGTCCGTCCTAACATGTTCGAGGATTTCGGAGACATTCATTACAATATTTGGTGGTTGTATGTTGTTTTTTCTTAGTTACAAAAAAAAAAAATTCCAACCATTTTCATTGTTCAGGGTGGGGGTTGCATCTCTGCATGCATTCGTAGGAACTACATGCATCTAAGAATAAATCATGGTATACACATGACATCTATAAGTATATGGTTATATGCACATAAATACAAGGTTTTAAATTGGCGTCCAGCATCCCTGTGCTTAATGTATGTGATTGTGTATTCATGGATGTTCTGCTCAATTCTCCATTCGTTTGTTTTGCTTCAGTTCTCACCTTTTGAAATGATTCTGTATTTATGGATTTTATGCCCAGCTCTCCATCTGTATACCTTCACTTTAAATTTAACTGAAGTTTTCAACTTGTTAGGAATCCTTGCCGCTAACATATGAGAAGCTTGGAGGTGAAGTGAAATGGATAGGAAACCTGATAAGTTACTATAACTGCATGCATTACTGTCATTTTTTATCTTTGTCTCAAGTGCATATCTTCTGAAGATAGAATAATACAAAGACACTATTTTGCAGATATTTTACATATTGGGTAGGTTTGAACCGAGACCAAGCGATTCTTATCATATGCAAGAGGGGGTTTAGTATGCTCATTTGTAATAAAAGTTAGCCTAATTATTGTAAACATTCACTTTTCTTCTTTTTGAAGTTCTATAAGATTGGAGTTTGGGTAGTGAAGGATGTTATTGTTGTGTTTCTCTCAACATCATCTAGATACTATCTTACCTTTCAGCATGTTACTTAATAAGTCATTGGTAAATGCATTTATAAATTATCTATGAAATCATTGATTGTCAGTCTTGTGTATTACTAATATCCCATTAAACACGTCCTGCAATCTATGAATCAACTATGGTCATGGCTGGTGCAGATCCTTGTGATTGTATTACCATAGGATATTCTTTCCACCATGACATTAACGGTGCAATTGATTCAACATTTACCAACAGGGAGGGTTTTTTTTCTGTTGGGGGGGGGGGGGAAGGGGAGGGGGGGAGATCCTTGTGATTGTATTACCATAGGATATTCTTTCCACCATGACATTAACGGTGCAATTGATTCAACATTTACCAACAGGGAGGGTTTTTTTTCTGTTGGGGGGGGGGGGGAAGGGGAGGGGGGGAGATCCTTGTGATTGTATTACCATAGGATATTCTTTCCACCATGACATTAACGGTGCAATTGATTCAACATTTACCAACAGGGAGGGTTTTTTTTCTGTTGGGGGGGGGGGGGAAGGGGAGGGGGGGAGATCCTTGTGATTGTATTACCATAGGATATTCTTTCCACCATGACATTAACGGTGCAATTGATTCAACATTTACCAACAGGGAGGGTTTTTTTTCTGTTGGGGGGGGGGGGGAAGGGGAGGGGGGG